GAAATTCAGCTGCTGGTGGCTCTCCGTTTTTATGCTGTGGGGAGTGTTCTGGAGGTGGTTGGGGATGGATATGGGCCGAGTAAGACCTCAGTGTGGTGGTGTGTTCACTACATCTTGCTCCGTCATGCCACCGATTATATAGCCTACGTATGCCTTTGGCCAGGCACGAAGTGGAGGCGGCACATCAAGGCTTCCATGCCATTGCGGGTGTCCCGTGAGTAATTGGCCTTCTGGACGGGACACTTATCCCCATCGCCAACCCATCAGCGCTCGACCAGGCCTTCATAATATATATGAACATGATAATATAAATGACTCTTTCAAAAGCAAGCGAAGCCTAAAAGCCAGTCAATGTAGCTGACTAAGGCAGAATACTTTTGGCCATGAGGTTGCAGGTTCGCACACTTGTAAAATTATACATATACATAAACACACACACACATATATACTGTATATGTGTGTGTGTGTGATATCCAAGGTTGCATTTAGTTTGAAATCTGGATTATTTTATAAATACAGTGAGCCCAGATAAATGTAATTTCTAATATTTCTAAAGTGTTTTTTTTATAATGAACATCATTTTACCCGCTCTATAACGCAGTGAAAGAGCCCCTGTATTGAACAATCGATTCTCGAGCCATCGATATCAACCTATTCAGCACCACCGCCATGGACAGCACCTGCTAAAGTCGCACGTAAGAAGGTTCACCTTAAGCAACATCCTAAGGTATAGTTCAGGGAACACGCTTAGAACAGGTATACCTTTAGTTAAGATATACCTTTAGAGTCTTCGTAGCGAGCTAAGAGATATTATCGGGAAACGCAGCCCAGATCTGAAACCCACAGGTCTCACATTAAACTCAAATGAACTGGGACACATTTTTCAAACACTGATGAACTGCTTGAAGCCATTAACATTGAGTGGAACAACACTGACTCTTCTTCCTGTAAAAAGCTGTTTGCAAGTTTGCCCACATGAACATTTTAAGAAAACAAAAGGGGAAGGATATTATGTGCCTTCATTAAGTTACTTTATCTACAGTATGTGTGCAGTTCTTGCTAATGTTCTGACCAGTAACTTGTGATTAACATGGTTCAGACCATTAAAAGACCACTAAATATTTTGCCATTTTTGGCTTGGCCCACTTTTCTGCCGTAGAGTGGGTGTCAGTAGGTTTTAGCAGGCTACATAAATGTCAACAAATCGTTTTTTCCCCCTTTTGCTGTTTCTTCTTTTGTATTTAGTAAATATCATATTCATCAACCTACAAAATGTATAATGGTACTCCAACAGTATCGGAGCAGACCCTGGTGTACATTTAGATACACTGTCAAACCACAGCCATTCATTCACGTTACCCAGATAGTGACCACTGTCACTCCAGTCATCTTGCAGTGGACTTCACAAACTGTGTTTTAATCGACATACATACAATTTCAAAATTGTGAGTATATAATGACTTTGTGAGGCTGTGTGATGTTTTGGACTGCTCTTTACCCGCTTTACTGCAGGTATGTATCGAACACAGTCCAGAACACTAAACATTCACACAAGGATGCCTGTCAGCACCAGCAAGGTTTAAGACAATTAAACATTGAATTTGAAAAGTCCACGAGTTAACTTATGTTATATATAAGTTATGTCAGGTCATGTAGAGGTGTGTATTTCAACATGATTCTGTTGAAGACTTGACTGTGAAGCTTGCAATCCAATGCACTGGGGTCAGGGTCAGTTCTCACATTTCATTATGATATTTACAAAAGGCCAGAGGTCACATGACTCCGGGACCCTAAAAGCCACAAATACCTCTCACACTTTATACATTAACATGATTTACATGATTGGGTAACCCACACTCTTCAAAATATCTGCTTTTGTGTTCAGCATAATAGAAATTCACAAGGGTTTAGAACAACAAATAACAGAATTTTCACTTTTGGGTGAACTGTCCCTTTAAGCCAAATGAATGCTGTTGGCATCATGATTCCCAAGGCATTCACTAACCTAACCATATAAAAACATAAACAGTCTAGATGAACAATTCACATAACCATGTGTAACATATCGTCTGGAGTAAATATTTTACCCCCCCCCCTCCAAATAACTGACTCCATGAAATGATTAACAGGG